AGAAACATATTTTAAACCAATGAACACTGAAAAGCAAATATTAGCAGTGAAAAGAGAATGAAATACAAATTTGAAAACTGTGTATTGAGGACAGAGTGAGCAACTCAGGGTTCTAAATGATGAGAAACTATGGTATAACTGTCACAAGGGACAAGTAGCAAACCTCATGCAATATAATCACAGTCAAAATTTGATAGTGACTGAAATTATATCTGTCCTCTTTCATCTTATGGCATTTTGCTTCTGAATTTCAAAGACACAACAGTATATCTTGAGTATATTTTTCTAGACCCATAATTGTCCTGCCTACTGAGTGAAAGAAACATCAAAAAGTGTATTAAGGTGAAATCAGCAAGATGGCAGAGTAAGAGATCCTAGACTTCACTACCTCCCAGAGCAAGCTCAATTAGCAGTGATACGCAGACAAGAATACCTGGATGAAAATCCCAAAACTTGGGAATAAGCCTAAGTCACCTGCATGGGTCCACAGAACTGAATAAAAAGTACATTAAAAGGGTAAGAGAAAGAGTCTCACTTTTACTGCATTGCCCTCCCCCTCCCCCAAGTCAGCACAGCTCCACACAGGGAGGACCACCCCCAGGGCCCACAATTTCTAAGGTAAGGAAAGAGAACCAGAGGCAGACATCCAGCTTTCCTGGCATCCAAGATGCTTCTCAGGAAGCCCACTCAAGTCTCACCTCACAGAGCACATAAGGAAAAATGGCACAGCTAGACCACTTGGAGTCGAGAAGAAACAAAGCAAGGAGATAGAGCCCATAGTGATCAGCATGCAGATTTGTATACCTGCCAGCAGTAGTGCTTGATCAGAGGCACCGGTTAACAGCACAGCCCATTCGCAAAGCTGAGCTGGTTGCTCCCAGAAGTGGTGGGAAGTTCTACCTGGCTTGAATATCAAGACAGTCAGCCTCCAAGACCAGCCTCAGACTACCATGGGTCCTATCCAAAGAGAGACAGACCTGCCACACCTAAGGAATTTAATCAGTGCTTGGTTTCACCTCAGAGCCTACCCCTAGACTCCATCCAAGGAGGGAGAGGACTGCACAGTAAATTTTAGCAAAGAGTAGTTGCTATACTTGCCACACACAGGAGTTTAATTAGTTCTCAACCCAGCCTCAAAGCCCATCCTAAGGCTCCACTGAAATAGGGAGGCAAATGTCAACCATACATCTCAACTGGGCATAGCAGCTACTCCTGTTCATTCCAATCAGTGTCTCTACCTACCTCCTGCAACTGGGTCTGACTGCTGAACTCAAATAGCAGCACTTTCTGGCCAGGGAATGTTGCTCCACGAATTAGTATTAAATGTGTTTGGGGACAGGATCTGTCTTAGGAGTTTTACACAGCTTTGCCCTGAAGGAATAGGTGAATGTGCTGGTTTGCATTTCGAATGCTGTTACACTCGGAAGGGCGTCTCTGAAAGGCAGTAGCGGCTGTATCCCACGAGGCGCCGCGTTTCTCAGACCTAAAGAATTGGATTTGCTTTGTAAAGCACAAGCGAATCTGCTAAAAACTATGGGCTGAGAGCTGACAATGGAGTGCCCTCCGAACAAACAGCTTCCCGGAAAAGACAGCTCCCGAATGGCTAAAAGCAAAGCTTTTGTTTAAACCACTCTAGACTACCTGTCTCCATTCACAATAACCTAATAAACATGGAGCTTACATATCTCT